TCAGAAACCCTTTCTGAAGAAGGGTCCTGACCTGAAACGTCAACTTTCCTGCTCCTCTGATGCTGCCTGGCCTGCTGTGTTCCTCCAGCTCCACACTATGTTATCTCTTGTTTTCCTTCACGACGTCTTTGCAGGCTCTGTTATTTGCTTCCCATTAATTAATTTTAAATAAATCATGGGATGAGGGCATTACTGGCTAGGCCACCTTTTATTGTAGGGTATATGTAGGGTATGCAGGGTAGTTTGATCTTACAATAGGATAATAGGTTGGCACAACATCGTGGGCTGAAGGGCCTGTACTGTGCTGTACTGTTCCATGCTCTGTGTTCTTATTGCCCATTCCAGAGGGCTGTTAAGACTGAACCACTTTGCTGTGGGTCTGGAGTCACATGTAGGATGGCAGTTTCCTTCCCTAAAGGACATTAGTGAACCCGATGGGGTTTCCCCCTGACAATCGATTCATGGTTATCATTAGACTCTTAATTCCAGATTTTGTTTTAAAATTTAATTCAAATTCCACTATCTGACCTCGTAGGACTTCAACCCGGTTCCTAGAACATTACCTGGGTCACTTGATTAACAATCCAATGATAATACCACGAGACCATCACCTCCCCTAAGGTGGTGTGTACAGTAACACAGCTACTCCAACTGTGACCTCAGCAACTTCGTAGACAAACTCTAAATTCACCGTCACTTTCTGATTTTATATGCACAGCAGTCAAACCCAGAATTACATGTCCCTTTTTCATGTTCTTTGGTCCATTCTTCTCATTTAAACTTGTATATCTTCACTTCTCAACCTATCAAACTCTCAGCTACATGTTGCCATGAAGCATTCTCCTTCTGTCACCAAAATGTGTGCCTCACATTTCTCTGAACTGAACTGAAATTGCCATCTCCCTGTTCCCTCTTGTTAACTTCATGACTTCCTACAATCTCTCCCCACAGTTTGCAGGCTCCCTCTGACTTTAGTAAGCTCTCTTTTGAGTCTTTGTTCTCTTAGGTTGCCCTCCTCTGCACCTTCAATCAAAGCCAGGGTGGGAATTACATACTGTGTTCCAGGATAAGGTAATGCTTTACACAAACTCAGCATCAGCCACTGGCTCCATGTACCGAAATTTTGCTTACTTTTGTCACGTTCCAAACCGATCTTTTCAATGAACTGAATCGCTCCACGAGCTCATTCCCTTGTACCATCAGGAGCTACATTTATTGTACTCTCATTAATTATAAACAATTTGGGTAGGAGGCTCGTATAGACAGGTTGGTCTGAATGACCTCATTTGATGCTGTAATTTCAATGCAATCTTTGTAATTTACTGCCCACGCCCTATCTCCAGTGTGTCATTTGTTTGCTGATTCTCAAGTTTGGCCAGATCTCTTGGCACTGGGTGCAGAGAGTCGTCGAAAGGGGAAAACATACTTTTTTATTTTCTTTTCCACAAACTTAACGTCGAGTCCCAAAACAAACTGAGAACAACAGCCAGCTATGAATGTTGAGTTAATGTCAAGAGGTAATGGAGTAGTTACACAGCTCAGCTATCAACACATGCAAAGTCTGTTCCCAGTGAAATCCGAGCCCTTCCTATCACTGAGCATCCTGAGGCAGGCACTCTGAGGTTATTTCGGAGTGCGATTGCCCAAGTATGAGCCATGCTTCATTGGAGATTCACACCCACCAAGAACAGAACAAGACTGTGTTTTTCTACACCTAAATAAAATCCCTTTCATCTCCTGCCTTCCCAATTCCTTTTTTTTGAAAAGGGGATCACTTTGCCCACTTTGGAGAAGGGATCACAGCTTTTCTCAGATACAAGGCAGTCACATGTGCATCCCTCCAATAAGCATTAGGGAACAGCAACAGACCATTTGACAGACACACAGGAAGTCAGTCAGTGATTGTGACTCACTGTGGGATTGAGGGAAGTGTCCTTATTGCCTGTGGATATTCATCTTTTCAACTCCAAATCCAACAAATCTCAAATCATCCTTAATAAAGTCACACTGGAGATCTAAGAAAGGGATGGGAGGTCAGGAGGGAGGTCAATTCACTCACTCAAGCAGCGATGACCATGTTTCGAAAGGACATCCTGTAATACTTTTGGGATCGTCTTGGCCCTCTTATTTGAAATGTTTCAGCTTCAGTATTTCATCTCTTGTTCTGCCAGCAAGGTACCTTTGCTGCTCCTTCTTGGAGAACTCAGAATAACAAACACAAACTTTTACTATAGATTCTTTTAGTTACATAAAAGTCCTGTCTCTCGACATAAGAACGTATGAACTAGGATCAGCAGGCCATTCAGCCTCATCAACCGGCTCTGCCATTTGGTACAATCATGGAGGATCTCATCTTGGCCTCAACCCCACTTTCCTGCCTGCCCTCCATAACCCTTCAACCCTTTACTAATTAAAAATCTGTTCATCTCCTCCTTAAATGTATTCAGTGTCTTGGCATCCATCACCATCTGGAGCAGTGAATTCCACAGATTCATGATCCTTTGAGAGAAGAAATTTCTCCTCATCTCTGTTTTAAATCTGCCACCCCTTAGCCTAAGATATACCCTTTCATTCTAGATTGCCCCACAAGGGGGAACATCCTTTCTGTACCTACTTTGTCAACTGCCCCTTTGTCTAAATAAAAACCGAAAGAACTGCGGATGCTGTAAATCAGGAACAAAAACAGAAGTCCGAGACAACAAGGTGCAGAGTTGGATGAACACAGCAGGCCAAGCAGCATCATAGGAGCAGAAACCCTTCGATGAAGGGTCTAGGCCCGAAACGTCAGCCTCTCTGCTCCTATGATGCTGCTTGGCCTGCTGTGTTCATCCAGCACCTTGTCTCGGATTCTCCAGCATCTGCAGTTCCTACTATCTCTGGGTCAACAAAAACAGAAGTTGCTGGTTCCTGTTCTGAGGAAGGGTCACCGGACCTGAAACGTTAACTCTGATTTTTTCTTCACAGATGCTGCCAGACCTGCTGAGCTTTTCCAGCAACTTCTGTTGTTGCCCCTTTGTCTATTCCCCTTGGAACCTCTCTTCTGCCTTCATAAGTATCATAGCACGTGTTAATGTTTTAAAATACATTCATTGAACTGGAAGAACAAGTAAATAACTAACAGCAATATCATACACATCTACATTATTATAAAGCTATTTTATCAGCCAATTCCTCAACATAGAATACGTTCAAAGTGCCTGGTTTGATTTTTTTCTTAAGCCTATTTGCTCCCTGACAGAGGCTCATACAAGTGAAACAAAAAGAGGACTAGCTAAGCCAAAATGGAATGTTACATTTGTATTCAGCTAAAAAAAGACATCATTCTGACTGCAGTATTGACTGCAATACGCTGGTATATAGTGACTGGGTTCAAAGTGACCCCCTTCAGCTTAGAACTAGACAACATATAAATCACTCCTTTCTTCCAGCAGCAAGGTCTGGCTTTGTGTTTTCAAACCTGTTGCTTCTCCACTGAGGTGATTTTCCTCAAAAGTTGATTTTGCTTTTAAAAAAAAACACAACCTGCGTTGGTTAAAAGATGCCTCACTTCAGAAATATAAAATGCTCCAGATGAGGACTGCTATCATTCCTTAACAGCCACCAAAGACATTTCCATTTTAATTCTGATGAACTGAGCTGGATTTGGTGTCAGGAAGCTGAGAAACAAGAGGCCACTTCACTGCATTGTGAAATGTGTGATTCAGAAATGTGGTGGATAAAATGACCTTTCTCAATGTTTTACTTAACATAAGAAGGACCATATAGAGTTATGTGACATTTCTTGATAAACAACACCCACACTGAATAAGAATAACAATAACCAGTGTTCCACAGGGTTCCGTCATTCATATAAACGACTTAGATGAGAATATAGAAGGCATGGTTAACAAGTTTGTGGATGACACCAAGATTGGTGTTATAGTGGACAGTGAAAAAAGGTCATCTAAGGTTACAAAGAGGCATTGATCAGTTGGATCAATGAGGCTGAAGAGTGGCAGATGGAGGTTAATTTGGATATATGCACTGTGCTTTGGTAAAACAAACAATGGCCGGATTTCATGCAATTAACAGTAGGACCTTGGGTAAGTGTTGTAGAACAGAGAGACCCAGGGGTTCAATTACATAATTCTTTGAAGTTTGTGTCACATATAGATAGGATGGTTAAGAAAGCACTTAGCACGCTTGGCTTCATTGCTCAGACCTTTGAGTATACGAGTTGGGACATTATGTTGAGGTCGTACAGGACGTTGATGAGGCTTCTTTTGGAGTACTGTGTCCAGTACTGTTCACTTCCTGTTATAGGAAGGATATTATTAAGCAGGAGAGGGTTCAGAAGCAATTTATCAGGATGTTGCCAGGAATGGAGGGTTTGAGTTATAAGGAGAAGCTTGATAGGCTAGGACCTTTTACATTGGAGTGTAGGAGGTTGAGGGGTGACCTTATAGAGGTCTATAAAATCATGATAAGGTGAATGGCAGGTGTGTTTTTCCTGGGGAGGGTGGAATTTCAAGACTACTGGATATATTTTTAAGGTGAGAGGAAAAAAATTCATAAAGGGCACGAGGGTCCAATTTTTTTTTATACAAGGAGTGGTTCGTGCGTGGAATGAACTGCCAGAGGAAGTGGTGGATGCGGGTACAGTTATAACATTTCAAAGACATTTAGATAAGTACATGAACAAGAAATGTTGGGAGGAATATGAGTTAAGTGCAGGCAGGTGGGACAAGTTTAGTTTGGGATTATATTTGGCATGGACTGGTTGTATCAAAGGGTCTGTTTGTGTGCTGTATGACTCAATGGCTCTATAATACAAAAACATTAGATATTTCTTCTGGTCAATGTTTTTGTCCTCATTTCTAATTTTGGCCCCAAACTTGAGAAGAGGCCCCAGGCACCGCTGAGAGGGAATGGAAACTCAATTCTAAGTGGGCTGCTACGTTGCTTCTCTGAATGATGAGCAATGAACGTGAAGTGTTAACTTCAGCAGAAGACAATTTTACCTTTACTCATGTACTCGGTGACAATGTAGATAGGCTCTTCGGAGACCACAGCGTAAAGTTGAACCAGTTTGTCATGTCTCAACTTCTTCATGATCTGTGCTTCCTCAAGGAAGGACTCGGGAGACATGGTGCCTGGTTTCAGAGTCTTCACTGCAACTTTTGTGGTTCCATTCCAGGTACCTTCGCCAAAACCACAAAAATAAAAGGCTCAATTTACATGAATGTAAAATGTTTAAGAGAAGCAAAATGACAAAAGTAACAAAAGCAAATGAGTGCTAAGTTCATGATAAATAATGACTTTGTTAGTTTTGAGATCAGTGTGATAGGAAACAGCTATTTATTTTATTCAGGCAGGCATTTTAAGAGGAGTTTTTCAGCCAGGATCTGTCCACATGCCTGTATCTTTACTGATTAATAGCAAAACGCATGCAATAATCAGGCCAGAATTACGGTGGTTTCAGATTGTCATTTTAGATCGAGCAGTTAAAACTGATTTACAGACCACGGTTAAGCCAATGTGACATGCTGTTAAAGCGTTGTGTAGTAGATCACATGATGAAACTCTGGTGACACCAAGCCATTAGTTTCCCATGTCGAAATGGGAAGTTTAGAAAGTCGAACTTGATTTGAAGTGAAGGCACCAAAACCCAACTGGAGTTGAAAGATTAAGCTCTACTTCCTAACAGGCAGGGGGAATGAGGGGTTAGCCTGCCTGTTTTGATGCCAAATGACCTCTTCCTTCTGCAATGGTACGTAATATGGACAGAGAAGAGATCTTCTTCGACAGGAAAATGTGACTTTGTCAGGAATATCGCCCAGATTCACAAGAGTGATTCTGTGGCTCAAAGTGAGGCCATGTGGTATAAACATGGCTGGTACTCGCTTCAGCTTAAAATGTTGATCTAACCGAGCTATCACATTATTATTCAGGTATCCTACGCTCTGCAGATCGCCAAACAATGGAATTGCTATTTCTGCCATCAAACGATTAGAGGAAACTCCAGACAGCACCTTCTAAACCCGTGCCCTCTAACGTATAGAAGGACAAAGGTATCAGATTTATGGGAACACCCCCAACTATTAATTCTGCACCAAGCCACTCACCATCTTGATTTGGAAACGTATCGCCATTCCTTCAATGTTGGTGGGTCGCTATCATGGTATTCCCTCCCTAACAACATTGTGGGGTAACAACCCCATAGCTCAAGTGGGAAGCAGCTCCCCACCACCTTCTCCAGGGGAATAAATGCTGTCCTAGCCACTGATGCCCAGATTTGGAGAAAGTTTGTTTTTAAAGTTTGCTATCTGTCAGGGAAAGCTTCCACTGCTTACACTGGCATCTCTCATGAGGGTAGCTTCAAGTTGGGCCTTTCAGGGGCATAATGATTAACAGCAGAAGTCCCTCTGGTCCATCCAGGTTGTCCTGACAATTTGCGGGACATGAACACTCCCTGACAGCCTGAACCCGTGGTGTGAAACAAGATGATTCTCAGTAATTTGGTTGGAATACGGCTGGGAAATTCTTTTCCACTCTGTCTTGGACCCAGGAATGTCCTCTCCATGTGTGCGGAGAGCCAAGGATTCTCCCAAATGCAAGCCACAAGGTTTCCCTGTGGGGGAAGGATGGCATGGTGGTTGCACAAGGTCCTGGGATGCCACCTGGTTTTCTAATGCGCAAACACAAAGGTGGGCCTGGGTTGGCACCAGTGGGAAAACCACCATGCTGAGCAAAGTCAGGAAAATCCCGGCACTGAGTCGTCGCCCTGGGAAATTCCGGTGGGAATGCCACCTTTGTGTTTGATCCAGAAAAGATTGAAGGAGCAAGAGTAGATCATTCAGGCCCTCAAACCTGTTTTGTCACTCAGGTAGATGGCCTGAGATGGCATCTCAAGAGCTTCTGTAACTTTACAGAATAAAAACCTATCCACTTCAGGTTTGAAACGATCATTTGCTGCCCAGACCTGACTGTACTTTGTGTGAGAGATTTGGCTTATTGCCATATTCTTGTGTGTGAAGGAGTGAGTGGCATCGTCCCAGAACAGCCCAGCTGTAGTTTTCGAATTATGCCTCCTTGCCCTGGACTCCTGATCAAGGAAGTTGGCGCCTGTTTGGGAGCGGGTTTGTTTGACTTAGAACAGTGTTCCCTATAACGACTGCCCTTTGACATATGACGCACAGTATGTTCCACATTAAAGATCAATTAATACCATGAAGCTCGGCTGATGATGTTACCCAGAACTGCGCCCAGCATTCTGGCCGCCTTTTGATTAATGGGAGCCTTCTGTTTCTCAAAGTTTGGATGCATTTTGAGAGAAAAGGAAAATCTTAAGGTTAGAGAAGAGAGCTTCTGAGCACCTTACCAGACCAAACATCGGCGAAGCACCCCTGACCAAGCTTTCTCTCCAAGGTTAGGGATTCCCGTAAAATTTCCCAAGAATCTTTAGCTAATCCAACAGTTTGCGGGATCATGTTTGTACAAACCGTTGTTAAGTTATAGCACAAACCATCAGCTGACTCTATGGAGAATGGATGCAATGGGAACAGGATTTAAAATTAAATGAAGCGCATGCAGTCAGGAGGATGGAAGTTGGAGTGTCAAAGTGCAGCGTCAGATTGTTCCAGGAATTCCATCAGTAATTCCCAAATTTTCAAAAGAGAGTGGCCAATGTGCACTTTTAACTGCTCTACAGTCGTTTTCAAATTAGTCCTAAATTGGCCAATGTGGTTATCTCCTTGGAAAGAGCCAACAGATTGCATGAAACTCCAGGTAGTTTTGAGTGCATGTACTGACCACATTTAAGATTGGAGTTGAGCTAATGCGCACAGTGAACTTCCTCCACCTTCCATCACCTCTTGTATATAAACCAGTTCCCCATATCTCCCAGGTGCCTGGGAGTGGGGGGTGAGGTTAGTCCAAAATAGTTCTTGTTTCATACCCATCCAGACTTCCCCAAACTGCCCATTTCCCAGCCTCTTGATTAACTGCAGAGATTCTCGGGGAATTTCCCACACGTCTTTGGTTTTCACAGAGAGGTCAGCAAGCCTCGGCATACCCTTATGGCAAGGGACCACCAAGCGACAGCAGAGACCAGCAGCTCGTTCTGCAAGAGGAGGCCGGATGGGGTGGGTAGGGAGAGAGGAGGTTGGCAAAGTCGGTGGAACGTAAGCCGCACAGAAAGAGGGAGAAGAGAGAGAGATAGGCAAATAAATAGTACAGGATTTCTGTGACATTGACAAGAGCATAATGGAACAAGATAATCTACCTGGCAAGCACCTGCTGCATTGTTTCCACTGTGACTGATAGATCTGTGGGCATTAGAATTAACTCAGACTAACTGGCATGCACCCTTTAACTATTTGTTTGCAGTGCACAGGCAATTCATTTAAGTCAGCAGCCTCTTTAATTTTTCTCACAGTGAGAAGAAGGAGAAGCAATGGCCCAGTGGCATTATCGCTAGACTATCAATCCACAGAGCTTGGTCACATTCTGGGGTTCGAATCCCACTATGGCAGATGGTGGAATTTAAATTTAATAAAAATCTAGAATTAAGGGTCAATTGTCAGAAGAACTCATCTGGTTCACTAATGTCTTTTAGTGAAGGTAACTGCTGCCCTTACCTGGTCTGGTCTACACGTGACTCCAGACCCACAGCAATGTGGTTGACTCTTCATTGCCCTCCGGCCTATCCAGTGATATCTGTGTTGAGTGAACGAATTTTAAAACAAAAACTCCGGTTGTTGCTCAGCGTTGAGGGGAGGTTGGGCAAGAGACTACTACTTATGATGACAATTTTCAAAACCAGTTTGCAAAATTGCAAGAAGAAGCCATAAACTCAGACAGAAAATGATTAATTTGAGAAAAGTTGTATCAGACCAGGATGACAGAGCGCTCCCTGCAGGACTTGCCGAACAACTGCAGCCCATGAGAATTTTAAACACATTGTTCCACCCTTTATACCACAATACACACTCCATCCTTTATGTTTACAGTTGGGCATAAAGAATAGGGAAGAGATGGGGGGAAAAGAATTCAAAACACTGATGCTCTTTAAAGAGTGTACACTTATTCAGTGATTTAAAAAAAACATAGCTTTTTAGTAAAGATTAAGGATGCGAGGAGGTTTTTCTAGGGTATTTAGTGAAAGGATGTTCCCTCTTGTGGGAGCAGGGGAGATTTCACAACTAGGGAGCACAGTTTCACATCAGGGACCATTTAAAGATGGAAGTGAGGAAGAATCCTTTTCTCTTGGACACTTCTGGAATTCTCTTCCCCAGAGAAGGCTGGGTCATTGAAATATACTGAAGGCCAAGTTGTAAATCAGGATGACGGGTGGGTCCTGGGGTCTGGGGGAAAGGCAAGAAATTCGAGGTGAGGCCACTATCAGATTGGCAGCCATGTTACTCAGCTGATAGAACAGGTTTGAGGGGCCGAACGAGGGGATAATCCTTGCTCCTGGTTCTTATTTTTTTAAAAACAAAGTCCGCAGGAAATTACATTTTGGAACATTCACCCACCCAACTTTTCTCAGTATCATAATTGCTCGTCCGCCCTTCAGTCACTGCCAGATGGTATTGATATTCTTATCCCCCACAGATCTAGTCTGTACAGTTTTTTTGCGCCATATTAAGAAATCTACAATCTGACGCTCAAAACAAGCAGCAGTGTGAGAAGCATAAACAGATCAATAGCACATTGAACAGAGAACAAGATTACATCCTGAAGGCTATATTGCATCAATATGACATAATATTAGAGTGTAGGTTGACAATGATATTTTGAAATAAATGACTAGCTCCGCGGTCAACAATCGTGCTTTGGGTTCACTCGGGACTGGGGATTCCAGCACAGTATGACATTCTAATCTGTCTGGCTTCATTGGGGCAGGGTCAGGTCCGTTCTTGGTCCGCCCTTGAGATGGGGGGGGGGGCGGTCAGAAATAACGAAGGGCTCAATCGGGAACTGAGAATTAAACAGAGCACGCGGGAGGATGACAGGGAGGGGGTGGAAGAAAGGAGCCAGGAGGCAAGTGGGAGTGAGGTGGAACAGGATGGAGTAAGAAGGAGGGAGAGAGGGGAGGATGAAGGTGGAGGAGAGTGGGGAAGAGGAAGAAGGCCTGGTGTGAGGGCGAGTGGAGGCGAGTGGCAGGTTGGAGGTCTCAGACCCTGAATGACAGGGCCACCGGGAAGAAAAGCAGCTCTCCTGGTCCAAGCAACTACTTTGGGCAAGATTTCCGCTCCTCTCCCATAGATGTGCTGCTGACGTCCCTCTTCATTTCAGGGGTTTTGATTCTGGGGGTTCCTCCTCTATTTTGAGGCAGCCTTGCCCTCCTTTCACTGTCCAAGTGGGACCGCACTAGTTCAAGGGGCCCTCTGCTTGGCCCTAGAGCCTGAGGAAGCCTCTCTGCTCTCATTCTGTGGAGGTGGAGGTGAAAGGAAGACAGTTAATGGAGTGTGTTCTGCTGACCAGGGGTGGGGATGGGGCCTGGGGAAATGGCCCCAAACTACGGTTCTCCCCTCATTAAGCAGAGAGGTGTAAGTGAGGCTCACTTTACTAAATCCATGAACGTGGGGAATTACCTTGTAAAGATACAGTCAGAAGCCCACTGAAAATAAAAATGAAGGAAGTTGCTGAGATGGTGCGAGCTACTCACTGTGGTCTGTCTCCACAGGCCACCTGGTAGTTTCTGACACCTCAGCCGAACGTGGCTACTGTTCATGTTCGAGTCCAGTCAATGAGCTGAACTCATCGCTGGATCCAGACTTTCTCTGAAAAGCACTGAGAGGGCACGTTCACCACACCCTCTTTTAGCTGCTCCCCACCTACTTCTCAAAGGTGACTGCGAAAGGGCTCCGTCCAAAATATATGACAAAGACCTGACATGTGGATGGAGCTGTCTGAAGGTCATAAATTGGTCTTTATTCAAGTAGCAGCTACAATCACATCAATAAGAGTAAAGAACATTGCACAAGGGAACAAAGAACACAGAGGAATGCACTGCTCAAGCACATGTAGTCAACAGGCCTTGTTCACCTTTTACCTTTATTCTACTTCACAGCGAGTTAATAATCTACTGACTGAAGAACAAATAGCCATTTATAATATGTTTCACACCCATGTACCCAAAATTAAACTGAAAAACTTAAAATAAACACTCCATGAAGCAGCTGTGTTAATGTTTCATTTGTACATTTCATTAAAGCAACATCATATTACTCTGCTTCACTCATTTTTGCACTATTTTGAAAAGGTGTCAGATTTCCGACAGACACTTACTGTTCTTTCCTTAAACTTGTGCATGAAAATGTGCCTCAGGGAATCGAAATACAGTGTACTGGCCACAAGCACATGCTGAAAATAGTGCTTACCTGCGTAATGTTGAACCAGCTGCTGCAGTGTTTCAAACTGGGCACGGGTTGTTATATAATACCCACCATTATCCAGTTTGCGGATCTTATAGTGTTTAACATGGTCTCCTTTTATGTCATCCCAGTCCCGTATTGACAAAGAATAGGCACCTGCAGGCAACAAACATAGTGCCATGAGTTAGCTCTCTGACAATCATCTCAAAGCTTCTGACCTCCTCATCGCCTATAAAACGCACAGGCAATTTATCAGGTTGCTGTGTTGACTTGGCTCAATTTTTCTCTCTCTCTGGTTTTGGGGGAAAATGAAGGGTTCCATTTCCAGTTTGAGAGCCGGTAAGAGCTGACAGATGAATGTGGTTTTCCTTCGACGGCCTCGTGTCGAGATAACGCCCAAGACAAGTAGATGAGCCCATCATCTCAAGACAACACACAGAGCTGCTCATCAGGAGCAGCTAAATCACCCGAACAGCATTGGGAAAATATTCACAGTTGCTCCTTAAGAACTCTTTATTTACAAGTTCTGGGTTGTTCATGAAGATAGGGATGATAACCAACACGTCTACTTACTAGGGAGTTCAGTCATTGATTGGGGACTGCACTCAGCAGCTAACATGGCCTTAAACATGGCAATGCAAGGCAACATTAGAATTGCGGTCTGATAGAAACAACTTATACTTATTGCACCTGTAACATGCATTATTATACAATAGGTGACAGAGCCTCATGAGAGATTACTGGTCAGATGAGGAAAGGATTAGACAAGGAGGAAGGTTTTACAGAGTGTTGTAAAGGGATTCGAGAAGCCGTGAGGTTGAAGGAGGAATCTCCAGAAGCTGAGGGCAGCTGAGATCACTGTCGCTAGTCGTGGAGTAATTAAAAGGTGGGGGGGATTCTCAGGAGGCCAGGACAGGAGGAGCCCAGCCATGAGGGCTGTGTGATTAGTGGAAATGAGAGAAACGTGGAGAAGGTAAAGCCTTGGAGCAACTTGAGAGCAGGGTTGAGAAGATTACAATGTCACCGGAGGTCAATGTGGGTCAGGGAGCAAAGGGGAGTGATGGGGGTGAGTGGAACAGTAGCGAGAATTAATACAGCCTCCTCCCTTCCCTCCAACACCATCCCTCCTTGAACAGGGAGGGCAAGAACGAAAAGTAGGATGGAAGCTTCATTCGTGCCACTGTGCTGCAGGTGTCAGGCTGCCTGGCCTTGGGTCTATGGAGTCCCCCAGAGTCATCAGTGAATGATGTTTGAGAGCTTCTTTGCATGGCCACACCTACAGCAGCAATCCGATGTGGCAAGGCTGCCAGGTAAAGGTGAACAGTTTGATTGTACGGGCAGGGGACGGGGAGCGGGAAGGGAGGAACCTCCTGTTTAAAGGCCCCTGTCCCCCACGGAATGCTCCCCACCTCCAGGAGAAGAAATGTCAGTCTCACCACTACCCCTCTCCAGGGGTAAGGCTGGCTGGCTTACCTTCACTCTGGGCCTCTAGTGCTGCTCCCGGTCTGGTGTCTCACTGCAGTCCACCCTCCCGCATGGGAGTGGCAGCCATGATCTCAAACAGCTAACTGTGGACAACTGATTGGGGGATTGTGATGGGAAGGGTGGCTTCCTGATTTTCTAGCTGATGGGATTGGTGGGCATCAAGTTAATGGATAGTATACTATCGGGAGGAGGTGGGCTTGGTCAGGAGAGAGCCAGGGGTTGTTCCTTCTATTTCTGAGGAGAATGGTACAGGCTTGAAGGAGTGGGGAATGGTAACATCTGTCAACAGAACCTTCTGGAATACAAAGCAGCAGTGAGGGCCTGCAAGGCTGAGTTGTCAGCACTTTAATCAGAGGTGGGTGAAAAATGAAGCAAGGGGGTGATACGGGCCAAATGAGTTCACACAGGATACAAGAGCAACTCAGAAAGGAGCTGGAAACGGACCTGAGTTCAAGGCTAGGGCAAGCAGGAAACTTGTAGGAAGTTTAACCCCAGTGCACAAGGGAAGTGGCCCAGACAGGTCAACACAATCTCAGCAATTTCAGATGGGAACACATTGACATTTTCCGACTTTGCAATTCTACCGTAAAGGAACAATAACCACAAAAACAAGAGTTTAAAAACAATAATGTTGCAGTGGTTTATGTCTTGGTTTAAGCATCTGGGAATGAGGGAAAGGGTATCTGGCTGAGAGGTTTGGAGAGCACTGTTCACTGTAAAGTGGAGAATGGACGGCTCAAACTGACAAAGGACTTCAGGCGTGGGGTAAAATAAAACCAAAGAACTGCAGGTGCTGAAGATCTGAAACAAAAACAGAAATTGCTGGAGAAACTCAGCAGGTCTGGCAACGTCCGTGAGGAGAAAGCACAGTATCAAGTCCAGTGAAGAGTTCTGATGAACAGTCATAGGACAAAAAACGTTAACTTTGCTTTCTGTCCACAGACACCTGCCAGACCTGCTGAGTTTCTCCAGCAATTTCTGTTTTTGTCTAGAATTATGACGGAATGAGCCAATTGTGAAGACTGGTCTAGGGGGAATGTTAAAGTACCCAGGACCTGCTTCTCCCTGATAGATTTGTTAAAGCTAGAAACTAATATTGCCTTTTTTTTCTATCTTTGTATATATATATAGGCCTTGTGTTTTTGAATAGAAGCAAATAAAAGGCAAGAGTATGATTGTCCAGCAGTTCACGAATCAGTCACATTGAACAGCATCGTACCTTCTAGTCTGGGACCCTGAGCACGGGGTCAAATAGAGGGTCACAATTCTTTTGTGTGCAAGGTTGGGGGTGTTGGGGGGGTGGAGGTGGATGGTGGGGGGGGAGGTGGGCAGTATAAAATGTCACCCGGTGGTGCATTTGGGGCGGTCGGGGCGGGGGAGCCTCACCTTCATGCTTGCCCTATATTGGTCTAAAATGCAGTTGTGTGTGTTCAAATGACATTTGATGAATGTAAGTTTTATTTACGTGGCTTTGAGACTTAATACTAAGGTCCTGGGGAGTGTTGCTGAACAAAGGGACCTTGGAGTGCAGGTTCATAGTTCCTTGTAAGTGGAGTCACAGGGAGACAGGACAGTGAAGAAGGCATTTGGTACGCTTGCCTTTATTGGTCAGTGCATTGAAAACAGGAGTTAGGAGGTCATGTTGCAGCTCTACAGAACATTGGTTAGGCCCCTTTTGGAATACTATGCACAATTCTGGTCTCCCTGCTATAAAAAGGATGTTGTGAAACCTGAAAGGGTTCAGAAAAGATTAACAAGAATGTTACCAGGGTTGGAGGGCTTGTTCTATACGGAGAGGCTGAATAAGATGGGGCTATTTTCTCTGGAGTGGTGGAGGCTGAGGGGTGACCTTATAGAGGTTTATCAAATCACAAGGGGCATGGATAGGGTAAATAGACAAGGACAGGTTTATAAAATCCTGAAAGGAATGAATAGTCAAGGTCTTTTTCCCAGGGTAGTGGAGTCCAAAACTAGAGGGCATGAGTTTAAGGTGAGAGGGGAAAGATTTAAAAGGGACCTAAGGGGCAACTTTTTCATGCAGAGGGTGGTGCATGTATGGAATGAGCTGCCAGAGAAAGTGGTAGAGGATGGTACAATTACAGCATTTAAAAGGCATCTGGATGGCTATATGAATAGGAACGGTTTAGAGGGATATGGACCAATTGAGACTGGATTTATTTCGGGTATCTGGTTGGCATGGACAAGTTGGACTGAAGGGTCTGTTTCCATGCTGTGCATCTCTATGACTCTAGCGCCAGTGGTCAGGAAGCAGCTAAATACATTTTACAAAATTAAGTAAACTATATCAAGTTTTGGGTGCGAAATGTGTGTAGTTATCATTAATGAGGCAAACAGTATACAGTCCTCGACAATATACAGGTAGGTGCTGAAAGCAGTCATACGACAGTAAAAGATAAGGTTGCGATCCTTGTTCACTTGCTTTTGAAATCGAAGAGGAAACTCTGCTTCAAACTAAACTAACTCCTGCAGAATGTAATGGGTCAGAAACTCGTACCTTTGGTGGTTTCACTTTCTCGAATGAGGAAGGTTCCTCTCGGATTGCAAACAGACAGAAGTTGTCTCTCAGCCTCTTTGCGGCCAAGTTTACCAAAGTACCACCTGTTTACAGAGAAGATTTTAAGATCAGAAATGGGAAGCACTGTGCCCAGTTTAACATAACACTCATGGAATTCAGAGGCTTTCATACAATTTCATTTTGGTTTGTCTAATGAAGATCACCCCAGTGACTGGCGTAGAATGGAAATGATAAAATAACTAAGTAATCATAATTCATGACACAGTTATAGACGCTCATTAAAATAAAGTACAAAATAACAAGGTTTACAATTATGAACATTTAAGTGTACAAATAATTACAACATGTTACAAAATGCAAATCTCCTTAATTTACAGAATAAAAGTACTGCATTTTGTACTCGAGCCCATAGATCATACGATGCAGGCTTGAGTTCCGTAAATTCTCATATTTGTACCAGTTTCAGTTTGAGTAGAATCCTAGTCTCGTCTTTTCCACAAATCACCCTTAACACCACACAATGAGCTTTTGTTATTTAAAAAAAATCTCAATCTTTGCAAAACTGCCTCGTCTTGGCAACTCTCATTTTCCGCGTGCTTTCATCAGGCAGCTCATCTCAATAAAAAAAGACTCAGCTTTCGCTCCCTGCATCTTCTGCCCACTTAATTCCTCACCATTCAACAGAGGACACCCAGTGCCCTCCCTCACTGCACTCCAGGAGTTCATCCCAAAACAGCCAAAAACTCTGCAGTCTGTCTCCGTTACAAATCCCACTCACTACAAACCTCCAGCTGATTCCCAGTAACTTCCTCTGGCTGACATTCAGATTCAGAAAGCCCTCGTCCTTGTTTACAAATCTCTCCGAGGACTAGACTCATCTTATGGCATCTGTTCTCCGACCTCCTGTGCGGATATTTGTGCATCAATGCTTCAAAGGAATATCAAAACAAACTTTAACACAGAGGAACATGTGGAAATATCAGGAATGAGCAGCCTGGTGAAAGTATTAGATTTTACAGAGTGTCTTAAAGAAAGAGAGAGAGGTAAAAAGCTAGAATGAAGGGATGAAATTCCTGAAATTAGTGTCAATGCAGTCGAAGGTGTGTAGCCTAATGTTGAAGCGATGAAGATCAGGGGTGATCAAGAGGCCAGTATCAGATGAACAATGATACTTCAAGGACTGAGAGGGAAAGGGAGGGGAGTGATCATGAAGGGATGCAAAAACACCGATGGGAATTTGAAAATGGAGATTTTTTTTTAATTTGGGTACAGAGCAATGATTGGTGAACAGCACCTCCTGTGAGTTAGGGCAGACAGCAGCAGAGATTTGGGTCAGCTCCAGTTTACGGAGTTTAGAGGGTGAGAGGTTGGTCAGGAGGATGCTGGAACAGTCAATATTGGAGAGCACAAAGGCAGGAATGAAGGGTTTTCAGCTGCAGAGGAGGGATGGGTAAAGTGGGCCGATGTTACGGAGGTGCAAGTGGGTGGTCTCAGAGATGACATGAATAGGAGGTCGGCAGCTACAAACAGAGTTCAGAGTGTAGACTGAAAGTGATGGGTCCAATCTTCCCAATATTCAATTGGAGGACATTTTTACTCATCCAGAATTGGATTGGGGTAAGCAGCTGATATTGGAGGAGTTGAGAAAGGTAATGATTAGGGGATTAAAGTAAGCAATCAAAACCAGGGTCAAATAAGGTACGTTTTAAGGAGTGTCTTCAAAGAGGAGAGGGTGGTGAAGAAGCAGAGAGGTACAAGGAAAGTGTTCCAAAGCTTAGAGCTCAGGCAACTGAAGACACAGCGCCAAAAGGTGCACCATTAAAATCAGAGACAGAGAAGCACAAATATCTCAAAAAATTTGGTGACTGAATGAGACTACAGAGGTGGGGAGAGGTGAGGCCATGGAGAAATGTGAAAAATAAGGAATGGTTTTGAAAATTGAAGCGCTGCTAGACCACGAACCAAATATAAGGTCTGTGGGCGCACAAATGAAAGGCGAGTGGGACTTGTTTCTTTGTGAGGTACCTCAAGTTCTCTTCTACTTTAAAGTTATGATATTAATACATGTAATTGTTGTTGTAATATCCAGTTACAATTATGACTTGTTAAGCATTCAATTTCTGTCCATCATAAAACATGTAATAGTGGTGGAGCCAAGATGTCACATGCCTCATGCAGTAAAGGTCCATATTGTTAGTATTCACTGCTCCAACACCCACAGCTGTTTGGAGATACAACTGAAAGAGTAAATTTTAAGCATCACAGTTATACATGGTTCTCCAAGTAACCCTACACCCACCACTATGAACACTATTTGGTGTCTGGTACATGATCAACATTCGCTATCTTAAACCATGCCCCCCCACTCACACCTCAAAACCTTTCTCCACTGCCCTTTATTCCATGAAAGCCTTCTACCTCTTTGATCTAGTGTTTAATTACCCCTGAATATTCTCCCTCTTTGTTGTGGCACCCATGTTTGCCTGATTACAACCTCGTGAATAACATTGGTCGGTAACAGTAAATGCAAGTGCTATTTGTTGCAACGGTAGAATGGGAACCAGGTTTGAAAATCTAGTTCGGCCTAAGGAAGCCCTTGGCATTACCACACAGGGTTGTTTGACCTAAGGCTTTGTTTAAGGACAGAACTACATTCTCCCTGCAACAATCTTTCCTTCATGCGTATCTGTAACTGTGTGCTACTAACACCATTAAACTTCCTATGCATGTCTTAAACATGTCGGACACTCACTTTAAGAAGTGTGTTGTGACATAAGAATAAAAAAGGACAACTCATCGTTCACCAGATGCTTGTTAGAAAGATGCCAGCCCTCACCATTTCTCGCCTGTTAGTCTTTCGGGCCAGGGTTAAAGGTCAATAACAAGCTGTAGTTTCAGTTCATTTTTATCTCTAAAGCTCTCGACCAAAAATGTGGGAAGATCCAAGACTTGCCTCTTAGCCACTGCCTTTTCCAAATTAATCTCTGTTGCTGTATCTTAGCTGCAACCAAACTCCAGTGACTGTGTCTTTATTGTTTGGAAGCAAAATATGTGGCACAAGTAGAATTTCTATTCCCAAGCATCTCGATATCATTAATTGTGTGCAGCATTGTGGAAGAAATTCCGCTTCTCCTCGCGCATGAGTCATCCTGTCACATCTGCCTCCAACCATCACCCATCACATACAAATGATTTAGAATAGAATAGCGACTTATTGTCACTTGTATTCATGAAAATACAGTGAGATGTGTATAAGTTGCCACAATTTGGCGCCATTTTAATGACAGAAATTATAAAAAGAAATAATTGAGACAAAGTTAGGACAAAGTTCAGCTTTCGTTCATCCGCAGCTCCTGGGTTTCTGGAATGGCTTCGGGACGTCGCCAAAGCAAGGATTTCCGGACCAGACCTACCATGCTGTCAACGCCAAAGCTAACACCAAAGCCACTGCATCACCGCCATAGCACGGAGGGGCAGACCAGACTCACCATGTCGCTGACACTGAAGCCGTCGCCATTTCAGTAACCGCCATTTCAGCCACCATGTTGCCGCCATAGCAACAAAGAACGAACTGGAACCACCATGCCACCAATCACATTCAGGACACCCTAACCAAAGACTTCTTTGGACTTTGCTAGAAAAGTCGTTGCCGGCTTGGTGACCTGAAATCTCACTCCTCGCTTCTGTGCACGTGCACTTCCTGCTCAATGCTGTTCTCTGGTGCCAGTGTGTGCTGCATGAACCCGAGGCTTGTTACAGTACTTTTCCCCAGATCTCCTCTCAGAGGCACAAGTCGCTGCTGTAATACCAAGTGCCAGGAAATTAAAGCAGCCCTGATCACATGGAAGCCGAGTCCTGAGGCACGACTGTTGTAGAGAGCACCTCTTCTATGGATGAGACACAGGCTGGCCTTTTGTGAAGGAGCAGAATCGTGGCTAACCACCCCAACATCCCACTAGGGTCAAGCAACGTCTCAACACATAGTTACTAATCGACAGGAAAGAAGGCCTAAGGGTACAATGATATTCATGAGAGTGCAGATATCAGTGATCGTGCCATACAGGTTTTATTATGCGAGAGGTGCCTTCTAATATGACATTCTGAGATGATCGCTGCTGGTACCTTGTAATATTTGCCAGGACTGCCAGTATGTTCTATTTGGTAAGAATTATTTGACGTGGGTTGCTGACACCAAACCTCCTTTGTCCTGGCCTTTGTCTTTGTCAGTTCTGAAGAAGGGTCAGTGGACTCGAAAGTTTAACTCTTCTGTCCACAGACACTGCCAAACTTTCTGAGTTTCTCCAGGAATTTTAGTTTTTGCTCCTTTGTCTGGGGCCTAATTAGTGATTAGTGGCAGAGGACACTCCACTGTTGAATATCTACAGAAGAGGCACTGTTCCTAAATAAGAATAGTTATTGCATCTTAGCAATAAAGACAACTACAGTCAGTCACAATGACCAGGACCTACGGGAGCTGGTATTGATACATCTGCTCCCTCTGAAAGCCAGAGGGAAAAAAACATTCACTGTGGAGCCACTGTAACATGAACATTAACCCCCTACTTTATAGGACACCTTCCCATAAAACCTTTTCCCCATAATTCATTATATTGCATTTGTCACTACTTCATCTCCCCCGAGTCTTTGACTTAATAAATGCAGGCAATCTGGATATTAAGGTTGGTGTGGACTCAATGGGCTGAATGGCCTGCTTCCACACTACAGGGATTCTATGATGATTCTATGAATTCACTTTCTCAAAGGATGCTGAGTTTAAACCAGGAAGGGTGAATGGTAGGTTTCTCACTGGTGGATTGTTGATCCTGGATCTGATCGCTGGGTCATTTCTCAGTTAGAGGATCTTTTATCTCTTGGATGTCCTGCGCAGAGGAAGTTGTTCCTTATAGATGCTGTCGTTGTTCCATTGGGTTCTCTGGAGGATCCTCAATCCCGGAATTTCTTTCCTAGAAGACAGCCACTGCTTTAAAATAAGGGACTTTCTTCCTTGTGGTTTCGCTGGATTTCTGGATCGGACAACCACTTTCTCATTTGTAATATCTGAAGTGCTTCTTTCTGATGGTGT